GATAATAGATAGAAGAAGAGAGAGAGAGAGAGAGAGAGAAAAACAAAGATAATTTGATAATTTGATTTCAAAGATAATTGAAGAATATTCATGTTATTAATAATTAAATGTTCGGAGTAAACGTTAAGTTTATTTTAGATATTATTAAAAGAAGTCTTTCTTAAACGTCCTTCTATAAAAATAAAGATTTGAAAATTTGATAATTGTTGTTATATGATAAACGGAGTATTAAAATTATGTGCACGAGTTATCAACGTCCATTATGACGTGATTCTTGCCGCGTGCGGTAGATGGCGCTACAGTTGCCTTTTCGCCGTCGTCGAGCATAGGCGACTATGTCGGGTCTTCTCTCAGTAAACAATATGGCCGGTTCATCGTGGTTCGCGTGTTATGTCGTCCTCGCCGTGTTCGCCGAGTGCCGTCGTCCGTGCTGCGAGCAGGACTAGTCGTTCACGGTAAGTAACACCTTCGTAATTGAGCAACGTGTATCCGTCGCAAACGCGGGGGAAGAACGTCGGTTTCGTGGCCGGTGTTCGTGACGTGACGTGACGTGACGCGACGCGCGCGCGTCGCTTTCGCCGACAATTCGCGATCGAGAGGAACGCTCACGTTTTCGGGTCGGGGGAGAAAAGGAAAGAGAAAAAAAAAAATGAATGAGTTGTCGACACGATCCGGAACGCGTCGACGCTTTTCGTCGCGTCGGGCGTGCTGTCAACGTCTCGTCGCGACGGTAACAGGTGTCGGCGCGACGGACGCGAGTGCGCCCACACTCGCGCACGCGAATCGAACGATTAGAAAAAGCGAGACGTCACGCTTTCTGCGAATTCGCGAGCCGTTCTTACGTGAATTCACCTTCGATGGGCGGCTGGCGTGTCCACCCACCCGCTCGCTCGCCTGCTCGTTCGCTCGTTCGCGCTTTCGTTATTCCGGGCGAACTTGGCTGCAAGCTCCATTTTTTGCGCGCCGCCCGGCGAGGGCGCGCGAGAGACGCGCGAACTCGCGTGGCCGCCGAAGCAACAGGTTTTTTGTACCGGGAAACCTTGCGGCTACGACGACGACGACGACGACGACCTCTTCTTCTTCGTGTCGTCGCGAATCTCGAGCCAAGATTTGTAATCGTGCTTTCTTCATCCACGGTTTATCGGTTGATCGCCATTGGACTGCCAACAGATTTTGAGACCTGCTGGAAGAAAGGTACGATGGACCGTATCGAAAAGTTGCATCTCGTCTCGCACGAGGTAAGATTCACGAAGAACGGTGTTTAATTATCTTGTTTAAACGATCTTAAAGATTGCGCGGAGTTGGATCGCACTCGTTGCACGTGTTGGATAATCCGTGTGTTCGTGTGCGTCGGGGATGTGCACATCAATCCGAAACGGGATTCCGAAATTGTGGACGGTTTTGTGGGGAGAGGGAGAAAGTGTATATACGCCGCGATCGGAAAGGGGAAATCGCCTCGAGGGACGAAGGAACTTTGAGGCGCGCACGAAAAATCGCGTTGTGACGCAAGACGCGTTGACCTCAAAATTCGCGCCGCACGCACGTGCCTCATTGGCCGCTTCTCGCCGCGAATTGACGCGCGTTTTACGACGTGATGCGGAACACGGGATTTCGAGGAAATCAATATTGAAAAAGGATGCGTACGTGCAAATAATCCTCTTTCGGAAAATATCACGGTTCAAGCTTCCATTTGACCTCGTTTCAAGCGTCCCGTAATTCTCTCACAAGAACTCGGCGCGGAATCTAATTTGACGCGCCGAATTATAGAACAATTATGAATAATTTAGCAAGTAAGACGGAGAGAGATGTGAATTTTTTTAAATTTAATACGTTTTGCACTTCGTAATTAAAATGAACGTAAGAGTGCAATCAGCCGTAACGTTTATATAATAAGAGAAAGTATATTATTGCATAAATAATGGATCTCTAGGCATTATCGTATTCTATGTTAATTGACTTCTTGTTAATTAACTTTAATTAACTTTAATCCGCGAATTGTTAATATTGTATGAAATTGCAAATGGTTGAAAGTCTTCATTTCGCAGCATTTACGCGTAAAATGGAATGAAGTCGGTATTCCGAAAAATAAAAATTTATTTTTATGCACGCAGTTTGTCAAGGAAAACAAGAAGGAAAAAGAGGCATAAATGTGCGATTTGTTCAATTCTCCTTGTCTTTTTCATTTTTTTCTCAATTCTCGGCGATAATTATTGCAGTACCATAGCGCTATATCTTCATTTTCATTCTCTCTCTATTGATTGTGATTCGTAATATTTACGCGCTGTACCAAGGCAGTGATAACACAACACACTTGAGGCATCGTGTTACTCGACTAGCGCTCTCGACTGCAACTGCAACTTCGTAAGCCTAATTGAGTATTGCAGATCCGTTTCCCAATTTTACTCCCTCATATTGCGACACTTCCTTTCGAGCGGCGTGACCGCGAAAGAGTTAATTTCTTCAGGAAAAACTGTTCCTCACTCGCAAGCCGGAGTCTCTCGCTTACTTGCGAATGACGTAAGTTGACGCATCGTGACTTCTCGTTGCGCTCGTCTGCCAGCTAGTTAATGCTCGGGCCAATGTTAAAGATCCCCATTGATTGGTGTCTCAATAGCAAGGATTGCACCAACACCCTTTAGCGAAAACAGATTGATAAATCGCGGACATAGTAGATTCGCGTGTTCGTTCTATTAGCGATATTATCAATAGGAGCGCCGTGTGTTAACAGGCTGTCTATTATTTGAAAAAAACCTGGAATTTCCAGAAAATTTATTTATACTTTGAAAAATCAGGGATTTTTTTTAGATTTCTTTTTAATAAATATACATTGATTTGTAAGATTACAAATAACGTACATTTAAAAATACTTTCATTCTATTTAGAATTTTTAACAAATTGCTTCAGAAAATTTTCGAAGAATTTTTTTCGAGTTTGAATAAATATCAATCTTCTATTTTTTAATATTTTTTAATATTAATTATATAGCCAGATATTTTATCGTTAAAATAAATTCGAAACATTTTGCGTACAAATTGATAAATATTGTATATGTAACGGTCATTTTATTCGAGATTTTAATTTTTGTTTGACTCGAAATCACAACCTCTGATAATCAAATCTAAATTACTATAATGGCTTAACAGAAAAAACTTTACAATTATTATAAAATCTTTAATATTGGTTTATACCTTTAGATTTAGTAAGGAACTAAGAGCAAAAACCAATTATAATCAAGTCAAAGATAATTACAAAATTTGCAAGACTGTTTTTTTCTTTTGTTTAAACGCAACCAATATAAAGCATCAGATATAGACGTAAATGCGTGATTTGATATTTTGAAATATTTTCGTATTGAATGGAGCACTGTGAGAGACGATGACCTTTGCAATGATTTTCGGCCAGTCACATCTAGATATTTCGAAAGTGTCCTCGGTCTGTTTTGCGCAGAGATCCTTTCTAAAGGTAAAGACGTCGCATGACCTCGGATTCAGTGTCACGTGCGTTCTCGCTGAACTGAGGATATGTCTCGTGCTTATGCAAATCCGTCGTCGCGCAATCTCAGTCACGCTGTTCGCCCTCGTGAAGAGATCTCGCGCGTTTTCGCCGATGATGACAAGATGTCTCTTTGTTGTTGCCAGGTGAATAATCGCGGTGCAAATAGTGATAAGTGACTCGCGACTGGCGCACAGGCAAACAGTCGTCGATCTGTTTAACACATAATCTTTCGTAGCCTTGGGACCTATAGACCACTATATTTTTCATATTCTTCGAAATATTACAATATTGAGATTTATAATACATTATGTAATTTGTCGCAATAGTAACAATAACTGTACAAATTTGTATATTCTTCGTGATGTTCTCATGGATACTGTATTCGCTTATATAATGTAAAAAGATTATTTCTTATGTCATTTTTAAAACGTGATTGTTCGTGATAGGTTGATGATGCTCATTAATCGCCGTATATCATTCCTCAGTATAAATATCGCCGCTTTATTTTAGTGAATAAGGTCTAAGGGCTAAATAACTGTAATCTCTAGGATTGTTACTCGCGTCGTTGAAGAAGTATACATTCGACCTGCGGTTATCGCGCCTAACGATCGCATGGACAGCATTAGGTCACACACATCGATTCCCTTCACCCCTGGCGTTCCTGAATAATGGATGTATTTCGACTACTCGTGCGCGCTAGGGGTGCAATTCGCGAATCCCGCTGTCGCTTTCGCACGGCCTGTCAACAGATTCCCCGTCATGTCGAAATTGTGACGATACATTTATGCACGATTGACCTGACATGTATTTTCTTACTTATCACCCAAATAACGTTACTTAATATTATTTGAGCCTTAATTGTCTTATACTTGTCGTATACTTGACATTAATTGATATGAAGTAAAGTTATTAACGTGCACGTAAAGTTGATAAGTTCGTCATGATTTTAATTGGAAGTCTGCTATCTCTTTTAAACAAAAGTTAAACGTAAAAGGTAAACGTCAACTAACATTTTTTTATTTCTTAGGTTTTTGTTTTTTGCAATAATTAGTATATAAATTAGGCTGTATTTCTAATTCGTTCTTATTTTAAAACTCTGTCTTAAATAATATTTTTAAATGTTAATTTGTCTCTGTGATTGTTAGAATGGTTTATCATAAGTATGTGCTTAAGAAACAGACGGTCTTGAATATAAGAACTGAT